TCTGTCACTGTAGCTGTTGCAGTTAGAAAGCTTTTTTAGACTGCTCATAAATGCCCAAAGGACACTCCACTCCACCACAAGCCTCAGTCTGAAGGAACTAAGCTCTAGCTCTGTGGGTCAACAAACCTAGGTACCCTCTCAAGTACCTGGAGGTACCCCACTCCACAAATGAGCCCTCTGCCCAAAGCCACTCAGGTTTGCTTGCTCTATGTGCTATGCAACCCACCACTTTGTCTAGTGTGCTGACTGTGGATTCTGTTGCTACTGCTCTTCCTCCATTCCTCTGCTATTCCTCTCTGGGCACAGCTTGCTGTCTCTGAGCAGAGGAGGTTCAAGGCACAGGGCTTTCTGGGTCCAAAGGATGTGCTGTACTCATGCCTTTCTTCTTGATGGTAGTGAGCCCTCCTGCTTCTGAGATAGCTCATTTTGTACCCTTGTAGAATTCCAAGTTTTCGTATTCATAATTAACCCTGTTAACAATTGAATGCTATAATCCTATCAGTGTCTTCACCCACCTTCTCTTACCCATGCCCATCAGGAAGAAAAAGTTGTTTGGGAATCATTACAAAGAGGAATCCTGATGTGGCACTGTAGGATAAGCACTGGACTTCTAACTACAAGGTTGGCTGTTCAAACCCACCAGCTAGCTGTCTCTTGGCAACCCTATACAGGATCTTTGTGAGTCGGAATCGACTCAACAGCCCATAACAACAACAACAGCTTGGGTATAAGAGTATGTGTGATAAAATTCACTGCACTGCAATGGTATATTTAATATTCTTTACCAACACCATAGTTCAAAGGTCTTCAGCATCCTTAGTCAGTGTATGTTGCTGTTAAGTGCTGTCAAATCAGTTCCAACTTATAGCGACCCTTTAAAGGGTTTCAGAGGAGCAGCTCTTAAGTTTGAACTGCCGACCTAGTGGTTCACAACCGATTACTGTTCTCCGAGCACCACACCATTGTATGTAAGGTGTTGCAAAATACTAAATTCTATTATTCCTTTGACATTTATTAGCTAGCAATCTTCTCTAAGTCAGAGTTTTCTGTTTGTTTGTTGTTTTTTTTTAAATGAGTGAATTATAAGCAGTTCCTGTCAATATTCTTTTGGTGTTCAAATTGTTCCAATTTAGTTGTTCCTTGAAGTTGTTTGAGTCCTTTAGACCTGTCCCTTTTAATCTTTAAAAACTTCCTTGTTTTATGACATAACAGATATCTCAGATTTATCTTATATCATCTCTGCCCCAAACCTTTAAGCATCACTCATTGCAAAATACAGGATTTCTATTATAGGAGTCCTGGTGTGGCGCTGTGGGTTACTGCGCCAGACTGCAAAGCTGTTTGAACTGCAAGTTTGGCAGTTCAAGCTCACCAGCTGCTCCTTGGAAACCCTACACAGGGTCACTATGGGTCGGAACCGACTCGATGGCACATAACAACAACAACAACAACAATTATAAAATAATGCACATTTTCCTGAAAAAGAAGGCATTCAACAAAATTGCACATTAAAAAGAACAAGTATTAAAACTGCCTTGATCTTTTGTTTTCACCTAACAGATTAGCAAAAATTCAAAAGCTCATGAACATGCTCTGTTGGTCAGGCTATAAGAAAAGAAGTCATTTTGCTGATGGGAATTCAAAATAGTACAACTTCTTAAGAGGGGAATTGGCAATAGCGAATTACATATGCACTTATCTTTTGATGAAGCAATCACTTTTCATTCGAGAAACTTCCAAGAATACTGAGAAAAGTGCACAGGTTATGCTTTGAAGCAGTTTGTGAAATCGTTAAATAGTAGAAACAGTTTAAATGCACAGCTGTAGGTTGGATAAATTATGGCACAGCCACATAATAGAGTACTATGCAGGTATTAGTCATTGAATAATATAATTAATATCACATGAAAGTAAAATTCTGCTGAAGATAATTCAGAAACAGTTGCAGCTATTCATCAACAGGGAGCTGACAGAAAGCCAAATTAAAGCCAAATTTAAAAGAGGACATTGAACTAGGGATATAATTACTGATGTCAGATGGATCTTGGCTGAAAGCTGACGACATGGAACTAGGGATATAGTTCCTGATGTCAGATGGATCTTGGCTGAAGGCAGAAATTACCAGAAAGATGTTGACTTGTGCTTTATTAACTATGCAAAGGCTGTGTGGATCATAACAAACTATGGATAACATTGCAAACAATGAATATTCCAGAACACTCAGTTGTATTCATGAGGAATGTATGCATCCACCTAGAAGCAGTTGTTAGAACTAAACAAGGAGATAGTGAATAGACAGAAATCAGTTTACCATGGTTGTGTCCTTTCACCATATGTGTTCAATCTGTAGGCTGAGCAATAATCTGAGAGGATGGATTATATGAAGAAGAACATGGCATCAGGATGGGAGGAAGACTCATTAGCAACCTGCAATTTACAGATGACACAATTTTGATTGAAGAGGACATAAAATACTTATGAAGATCAAAAACCACAGCCTTCAGTATAGATTACTCCATACAAAAATCCTCACAACGGACCAATAAATCACATCATGATAAATGGAGAAAGGATTGAAATGGTCAAAGTGCCCATATTGCTTGAATCCCCAAACAACACATGGAAATCAAAAGATGGATAACATTAGGCAAATCTGCTGCAAAAGACCTCTTCAAAGTGTTCAAGAGCAAAGATACCAGTTTGAAGGCTAAGATGTGCCTGACCCAAGTCATGGGATTTCAGTTGTCTCATATGCATGTGAACATTGGACAATGAATAAGGAAGAATTGATGCATTGAATCTGAATCGTGGTGTGGGAGAAGACTATTGACAGTGCCATGCACTGCCAGAAGGAAAGAAGTTCAGCCAGAATGCGCCTTAGAAGTGAGGCAAGATTTCATCTCTCATTCTTTAGCCATGTTGTCAGGAAGGACCAGTTTCTGGAGGGCATCACGCTTGATAAAGTGCAGGGTCAGCGGTAAAGAGGAAGACCCCACAATGAGATGGATTGGCACAGTGGTGGCAACAGTGGGCTCAAACATAGTAACATAACCAGCCAATGTTTTGTTGTGTTGTGCATGGGGTCACTGTGAGTTGGAATCAGCACCTAACAACAACAACAGCTATTTTAAAAAAGGAATGAAGACGATCTTTGTGAACTGTTACGGTGATTTCCAAGATGCATGGTAAAGTAAACAAAACAATGTGCAAAGCATGTATACAAAAGGGATCCAAATTCCAATATCTTTTCATTCTTTTTCACGAACTTTTTCAAGCCCTCTTGTATAATGTGATACTATATGTTAGCTATTTTTAAACTTGATATTTTCTTGTACCAACTGTCAGCTCTTGAAAGTGGAAGAGGCCTTTGCCTCTCAGGATGGAGAATTAATCAACTAATAGGTTTCTTTTTTTCCCCCTCAGGATTGCCAGCAATAAGCGTTCCTGTGGCCCTCTCAAACCAAGGATTGCCAGTAGGGCTTCAGTTTATTGGACGTGCATTTTGTGATCAACAGCTTCTTATAATTGCCAAATGGTTTGAAAAACAAGTACAATTTCCTATTATTCAACTTCAAGAACTCATAGATGACTATTCAGCCATCATTGAAAATGAAAAGTTTGCTTCTGTTTCTCTAACACAGTAATAATAAAAGCACAGTGCAAATTAAAGTGACTGAGAGATTTTATACTCAAGTGAAGTCAAATTATCTTGCTAAATTCTTATAATTGGGTTCATTGGCAACATACTCATTTCCTTGCAATCTCCTTTTAAATTCTTTGTTATAAATTAAAATGATAAGTAATGTGTTTGTATTTATTAAGTAAGCATCACTCATTACTAAGTTTAGGATTTCTAATATATATATGTGAAGTCTTGGTGTGGGGCTGTTGGTTAATACACTGAACTGCAAGGTCGGCTGGTGAAGCTCACCAGCCACTCCTTGGAAACCCTATACAAGAGTTGCTATGAGTCAGAACTGACTCTATGGCACTTCACAACAACAACAGCTATCTATGTATATGTGTGTGTGTGTGTGTGTGTGTATGTGTGTGTGTGTGTAAATACACTTGAAAAAGAAGGTAAATATTCAGCAAAATTGTGCATTAAAAAAGCAGGGTTTGTGGTCAAAGTAGATTAAGGGAAACTTCTCAAAAATTATACATTTTTGTAACCTAAGTAAGTGCTAACAAAAAACCACAGTTGCAATCTCTAGAGCTAACCTGGCCAGTCACATAATAGATTGTCCCTCAGGGGATGTTAAAATGCATAAAAACCATAAAGTGGAAATGTTAGCTTCTATGTACTGGCAAGACAGGTGGAAGATAGGCTCTGACACAGGAGGAAGTGTGACCTGCAAAACTTGGGGGAACATCTCTGGGGAAGAGCCCAGTGCAGGTGCCCCTTTTACTTCTCTAAAAATAGAGCTGAAATGACTGAAGGCTTTTCTCATTTCCTGCTCAAAATTAAATGTTTACTTTTGCTTTTCCAGAACCTCTTGCCTCGAAGCCAGAACACTTCCATGTTACATGTGAGCTCATTCTCTTGTCTACGGATTCCAGATGAGCTACTTGATGCCATAGAAACATTTGTTAGAACCTACTAGACCATATGGACTTGAAACGTACAGTGGGGAACTGGTGGTTTCAGTGATAGTGGTTGAATGTACACAAGTAACATGCAGTGTGAAAATTGTGGGAATAATTTGGTGAGGATGCTATAGACGTGGGACCCGGAACAGAATTCCCCATCCCCAACCACTGGGGCCCTAGGAAAACCCCGTAACTCATCAGCCACTCGGAAACCCTATACAGGGTTGCTGTGAGTTGGAACCAACTTTATGGCACTCAACAACAATCCCAGAGTCTTTACTCTTTGCTTACGCTCTCTTGACTTCTTTTCAGATGTTCCCCATTTGGTCCCCTTGAGCCAAAGAGACATTAATGGGGATCTGTATTCTGTGTTCAATATTTGAATTAGTCTAAGGAAAATCATATTTTTACCCACTATAAGCTCCGTCATTGGGTTTCTTTTGTCTTCTGCCAGAACACTATTAATTCTGTTATTTCATGTTGCTCAGGAGTTTTAATTGCCACTTACACATTGTTGATGAATAAAAGGTGAAAGCTTAATTATTATTTAATGTTGTGTTACAGAATTTTAACCTGCCTACGTGTACACATTAGAAGACCAACTAAAACATTAGACTTAATTTTCACTAATTGTTTTCTCTCCTCCTAGAGATCTTTCCACTCCCAAACACTCAGTGTGCGTAAGTTTACATAAAAGCATGATGTGCTAAGCCCACCAGTGTTCATATAAATTTAGATTCTGAATCTCTGCATAAGAGATCCTTAAATAGTAACAAGAGGAAACCGTCTTAGTTGACAAAGAAGCTAGTAAGATGTGAAGAGCAGAATTTGAAGTGAAAAATTTTAAAAGAACATTTACTGTCTTCCTTCATTTGAGCTGCACTAGTGATTTGAATCTGAAAGTAGGTAATGCTTTCTCATAATGCCCAACTAGCATGAAAAGATACCCAATTTGTTTTTCTTTCTTCTCCATCTTACCCTAAATCTAACAGATTTTATTTTGCCAAGTCAGTGTCTGGGAATTTAACTGGCAAATGGTTTCTGTGTCTCAGCAATTTAAACCTTGAAATTGTTAGCCACACTGCTCTGGAGGAGGACACTTCTGCAAGGGCGAAGATGACTGCCAGTGTAAGATGAGGCCGAGCAAACGAAACTAAACAGAAAAACAAAACAGAAAACTCAACAGCAAAAACTGCCAGGTGGAAAAATGTGATGAGATCACAAACTTGGCACCCAGATGCCGCAGAGTCAAAAGAGCAACAGGGAAAACCAGTGTTCCATGTTACCCCACTCTGTGCACAGAGAGGCAAAACAAAACGTTCTCTTTGAACAGCTATTTGATTCCACGTCCTCTGTAGGACAAAGGAATACAGGCCACCTAGAAAAAGAGCATGGTACAGAAGAGGAGCTTCTAATGATGTCTAAGAGCACTAAGAAACATCCTCACCTTCTAATGTAAACAAGAAGTAACCTTTAGAATTTTAGAACAATCTGAAGGCCCTTAGGAAGAGATATGTTAATAGGACACCAATAAATGGATCTCAGAGGTTCTACAGGCTGTGTGTCCCACCCTGTTCCATTCAAAACGGGAACAGACTAATGGAATTTTAAAAACCGCTTTTATTATGAATTTCTTTTAATCTCCCTCCCTTTCCTCTCACATTTGATTATCTACACCAAAGCTAAATGTGCTAGCTGTGCAGGCCTAGGGCAAAATGTATTCTTTGTGTTTTGAAGCACCAGAGGAGAGTTTAAAATAAAAGGTTTTCCTCTGTTCTTTCATAACGTAAGCAGTGTGTATACTAGAACATAAACCTGAAAATGTAATAAAGGCAAATAAAATGGGGAAAGATAAAACAAAAGTAATAATTACAAAATTTTAGAGGGACTTTGTAATTTTGTTTCTTTGTATACCTCAATGAGATATAAATCCAAGAGGATTTTAGACCTTTTATTTAAAATGTAATATTATAATGGTATAAAAGTAAATAGTTGAAATCAGAGTGATGTTTAAATAAACACTGGGGAGAGATAAAGTCAGGAATTAGGTAACAATGCAAAAAAGTCTTTGAAGGTTCTATACAAATTCTTACGGCTATACAGTGTGCTGTTGTGGTAAATTTCCCAATAGTTCCTAGATGATCTATAGTATGGGTACAAAGCCTCCAGATTTAGAAATCAAACAAACCTGGGTTTGAATCTTACTGCTGTCATTTACAAACTGTGTAGCTGAGCTACTATATCTGATGTGTAAAATGGGAATATGATCTACACCATAGGGTAGCTGGGAGGATTAAATTTAAATGATACTGAGCGACTAGATGTACAGACAGTCAGACCATATGTTAAGAATAGAACCCTAACCCACAACCTGCAGCAACCAACCCTGGAAGCCAAACCACAAACGGCACTAGTCACTTTAGGAAGCCAAAGTATGACCTCTGTAGTTATCCACCCAGAACCTGCAGAATATGATCAATAACCAACGGTTTTTTCATTTTTGCCCCAGCTTCTAACTTAGGACCAACTGGAGAAAGCTAGATATGCTCCCCAAACTCATCACAGGATGACTTGATTCTAGTTAGCTGTTTCCAGCTTCTCCATGCCAACAGCTTCCAGTCGGCACACCTGAAGTTTTCCTTTTTTTCCCCTCCACTAAAGCTTATCCACTCCTTTAAATCTTTGCCAAATGCAAATGATCATGGTTGATTCTCTTGCTACAGCAAGCTCTGAATAAATAGTCTCTGCTTGTCTGCTTTTGGGTGGTCTTCATTTATCCCACAGAACACTGAAAGTAGCTAGCATATTGCCTGAAACACAATAAGCATTCAGTAACTTGAACTGTAAATAAACCCACTTCCACTTATCAACATGGTTAGGCTCCAAAGATCAGGTCAGTCTGAATATGGAGAATGACTAACCGACTACATCATTACAGAACTGCCATTGACAAAGAACCTTAATCGACACAATCAATGTTAACTCTCTTCTTGCACCTTGGCGTTCATTATTGCTAGAGGTACATCATTAACGTACAAAATTGTCAGATAATAGATTTTTAAATTATTGTCCTAAATGCAAAATGTTGGGTAACAAGACAATCCATAAGGGAGAGACAGGTGTGTTGTTATTAAGTGCCGTTGAGTCAATTCCAACCCATAGCAACCCTGTATAGGGTTTCCAAGGAGCAGTTGGTGAGCTTAAACCACCGATCTTGCAGTTCAAACGGCTTTGCAGTCTGTCGCATTAGCCCACAGCGCCACACCAGGACTCCAAATGCATGGAATCATGAGTTTAAGTCATTTTCTTTTAGAGACCTCATGGTGACATATGTTCAGATTGCAATTTACTAAGGGCTTCAGTCCTGAAGTGGCGCTGTAGGACAGTGTTCAGCCACAAGTTTGGTTTGAACTGCAAAGTTGGAGCTTCAAACTCACCAACCGCCCCTCGAAAATCCAATACAGGGTCACTATAGGTCGGAACCAATTCAACAGCACTTAACAAGGGCTTAAGCTAGAGAGTTATGAGATAGTTTCCTGAAGAGCTGCCTTCCTCTAGATAAAGCTCAAAATAGCTGGAGGAACTGACGAACTGCATATTTGTAAAGCTAGTTAGTGAATTTTTTTTTATTTTAAGGTTTTTATTGTGGATTGAGTGAAAGTTTACAGGGCAGATCATCAGTTTTACATTCAACAAATCATACACCTTGTTTCATTACAATGAT